GAGCCAGAGGTGGGGAGTTCAATTCCCCACTGTGCATCCAAGAATAGAGACAGCCTGTGTGGCCTTGGGAAAGCTGCACAATCACAGAACACCCCCAGAAGAATGGAATGGTAAACCCCTTCTGACTACTCTCTACCTGGAAAACCCTGGAAAGGGTCACCACAAGTCAGAATTGACTTGGCAGCAGACAGTTGTTCTCATTATTAATTTATTTAGCTAGATATGAAAATGGAGAAATTAACAATGAAGAGGAGTTCACTATATGGAAAACAAAAGTCTTTATGCATCAGTAGAGTTGAGTCTACTTTTTCTAGCTATGGGATATTTGTGCGTGCGATGCAGTAAACCATAATATAATAATCTTGAAACTGCTGTGCTGGAAGGGTCCCTACTAGATATGGGGGTACTGTATTTGTATATGAATAATATCCCCACACAGGTGGCAATAACAAGGTCCAGCCCCATGGGGCCGGACGGTCCACCCACCGACCTGTCACTGCTGCTGATGCCGCGATCCTTCCAATAACTCCGGAGCTCACGATCGGCTCGCCACTCATGGGAGGAGGTGGGACGACAATCCTGCCTGCCAGGTTGAAGAGTGGCTTGCCGATCACGAACTCCAAAGTCATTGGAAGGATTGTGGCACCCACCGCAGCAGCGGATCGGTGAGTGGACCATCCGGCCCCATGGGGCTGTTCCCTTGTTATTGCGACCTGTACAGGGATATTTGTATACGAATATGAATACCCCTATCTCTAGTCCTGATGGATCGTTAAGTCCAGCCACCGTCAGGAAAGCACAAGTGAGGAATTGAATTCCCAGTCTCTGGCTTCACCACTGAGCTACTGAGTTATCTAGCAGTTCATAAGAGTGTCTCTGAACTGTCACAGATTATCAGTAGAGCGTCCCACTAGAAACAAGGGCTGATGGTGGAAGCAAGTTCACATGCCAAGGACATGTAGCCTTTCATGATGGTGGTGGTGGGGGAGAAGCTCCAGGGGCAGACTTGTGCATGAACAGATGCTTCTCACTCTGTCCTGTGAACTCAGAAGCGTTCACAGGTGCAGTGATATATTCCTGCACATGAAGAACTTTCCTCCCTTAGAAAAGGACTGAAGGACATTCAGTTATACGAGTTTGCAGAGGCCCTTCAACTGCAGCTGCATGCGGCAACCAGGACACCTTCACTCTGAAACTGAAAAGTAGTTTAATGCTTAAAATCCCCAATTTCAATGGGCCCCATTTTGTAAGTAGGAGCTACTTCATTAGATCACACGGTTACTGAAGATGTACATTACAAAGGTAAAACATGGCACAGAACATTTTTTAAATTAACCTTCATCTAAAAGCATAACAATGCCTCACACTGATTTTTTGTTATTTTTGCAAATTGTTTTTAGTAGCAATGGGAAGTGAGCCATCTCTCTTTTGCTGAGCAGTGTGAAATTTGTCTGCCAGATGCAAATTTAGGTCTTGGGAGCTATTCTTAGGAAACTTAAACTCACTCAGCATTCATGTGAGATCATGATAATGTGAAAGCAACATCAATAACCATGGAAAATAGGCCATGCTATTCTTCTGTCCAAATGTGCTTTTCCTATCATTTTGAAAATGCTGTTCAGTTACTGTTTTATCTTTTCTGATCTTGAAAACTGTAATGTGATAGACCACTAATCTCTTTGTTATGCCAGGTTGCATGTGCATACCTGGAAGAAAATTCTTTGAACTCAGTGGGCTTAATTCCAAATAGACCCGCACATGGCCCAAGCTATTTAACATAAGTTAGCATGTATGGACAAAGACTACAAAAATACAAGTCATGTAAGTAAGTGGAGAAAACCAGATAATATTTAAGTTGACGAAATATTACCGTATTGGAGGCAACATTCTGTTTGCAACAACCTGACGGTCAAGCTGGTAAAATGCAAGCATTGCAGATACACAGGAGAGCTTAGCCCAAATGATCACATAGCAGCTATTCAGTTAGCATTCAAAAGTGGTTTACCATTCCCTTCTTCTGGGGTGCCCTGAGACTGTAAAGTTTGCCCAAGACCACACAAGTTGGCTGTACTCACAGGAGGCACAGTGGGGAATCAAAACTCCCAAATTCTTGCTCTGCAGCCAAATACCACCATGGCTGTATTATATGGCAACAGTTACTGGAAGAGAAGAACTGTATTCCAAACAAGAGATGGATGCTTATAGCACCACTTTATTATTGTCAGAGAGGTTGTAGGCCATTTGACAAGGAGAAGGCTTGAAAAATAATTGCATCCTCAAATCAAATGCAAACATTTAGGAGGGAGAGTGCTCTTCCAGACAGAGCATTACTCTCCAAAATATACCTGATCAATCACTGATATCAATATTTTCCCCACCTCCCTATGGCATAAAGCTTTTCTCTGTCATTTTGCTACTTTTTTGTTGTCCCCGCTTGACGTCAGGGCTGTTTGTTCATTTCAGTTTGTTCTGGGCTTGTTGGGGGGCTAGAGAGAGACTGCTTTTTCACATCTTGTAAGGCCACCCACCCTTCCTTCCTTCCTTCCTTCCTTCCCCACCTCTGTCTTGAGCGCAAGCAGCCATGTCACCCCCTACCCCCTGGCACTTCTCACTGGTCACACATCTTGACCAGAGTGCTGGCAGGAAGAATGTGCTGACCCACATGAAGCCTGGTGGAAAAAAAAACCACTCCTTCTGCTGCTCCCACCACTGCTTGGCAATGCCAGGGATTACACCTGTGCTTGGCTGCTCTACTCTACAATGTGAGCTGGGAACAGCAGCAGCAGCAGCAGCCGCCTGGTCAGAAAAGCTCTGTGTGTGCCCTAGGTCATGGATGGAACCACATGGTCTCCAGATGATGTTGGATTGCAAATCCGATCACCCACCATTGGATATATTGGTGTGCAATTCAACCACCTGTTGAGGGCCACACATGTCTTACCCCATTCCTTGTATTTATAAGGGAGGGAGTAGGCAATAGTCAGACTGGTGGTGTGCTATTCAGTCCAAGCTACTTTGCTGGAAGCCATATTCCTGGATCTCAGAAAGGCGTTTATGCCAAGATAACCCACTCTTTTACTATTCAAAAATCATAATACTACTACTCAAAGGTACCATTTCTCTTGCAAAGAGATCTGCAAAGCTGAAATTCATTGTGCAAGGATTTTTGTTTAGGCACAGCCTGGGAAATTTCATAACACAGTTTTTGATGTAACAGGCAGTCACATTTCTCAACCCCCCCTTCACGTCTATGTCAAGGTTACACAGCTGAAATGCTCGTCACTATGCGTCACATATGCTAACACTCTGAGCAGGTATTCCAAAGCCACAGAAGCTTATTTATGATTTAGCACCTATGAGTTAAATCTGACCTTAGTTCTCCACAGAATGATCCTACTGAAATGAGCAAAAGCAAAGTATGCTGCTTATACACAGGTTGTAAGCAGAGGTTTGACTGCGGTAGTGCAGTTTAACCACTGTGCCATGAGATGCAGGATTGTAAGTCACAAAAATATCTAGCTAGGATTAACACTGAATTTAACCGGTATCTGTTTGCAAATGCGGATTAGACAACAATAAAATATGTTTTTGGGAATGTGTCCCATTTTGGGGAACTACAGAATTACTCTTCAGCGGAGCTGGACATCTATCTAGGACTAACACTGAATTTAACCAGTATCTGTCCCATTTTGGGGAACTACAGAATTACTCTTCAGCGGAGCTGGAACAAGAGAGGAAGTCTTGTTTCTCAAGTCACTTTGTTATCCATAAAACTTATTTAGTGCAGTTCTGAGCTGGCTATGTGAATTTAGGATTAGGCACAAGCCACTTCTACTGGGAGGACTCTCTTCTATCAATCTCTGACATCTGCCAATGGTGGGGTTTGTTGGCCAAACTTCTGTGCCAGCTAACATCTGCAGGCATAAGAACTTTAAAAAGAGGTGAAGAAGGAACAGATCCAGATACACCCACCCAACACAGCCAGAACAGCAGCACGAAGTTGGCTCAAGGCAACCATGCTGTTGTTTAGTCGTTAGTCGTGTCGAACTCTTCGTGACCCCATGGACCAGAGCATGCCAGGCCCTCCTGTCTTCCACTGCCTCCTGGAGTTGGGTCAAATTCATGTTGGTAGCTTCCAAACACAGCCAGAACAGCAGCACAAAGCTGGCTCAAGGCAGCCAGCTTGTTGTTTAGTCGTGTCCAACTCTTCGTGACCCCATGGACCAGAGCATGCCAGGCCCTCCTGTCTTCCACTGCCTCCTGGAGTTGGGTCAAATTCATGTTGGTAGCTTCGATGACACCGTCCAACCACCTCATCCTCTGTTGTCCCCTTCTCCTCCTGCCTTCACACTTTCCTAACATCAGTGTCTTTTCCAGGGAGTCTTCTCTTCTCATGAGATGGCCAAAGTATTGGAGCCTCAGCTTCAGGATCTGTCCTTCCAGTGAGCACTCAGGGTTGATTTCCTTAAGAATGGATAGATTTGTTCTCCTTGCAGTCCAGGGGACTCTCAAGAGTCTCCTCCAGCACCACAATTCAAAAGCATCAATATTTCGGTGGTCAGCTTTCTTTATGGTCCAGCTCTTGCTTCTGTACATCAGTACAGGAAAAACCAAAAACTTTGACTATGCGGACTTTTGTCGGCAAGGTGATGTCTCTGCTTTTTAAGATGCAACCATAGTCTTAAATATAGCTGGGAGAGGTTTGGATTCAGCACAGTTTCAACTACACTAGTGTCAACTCAGCTGGGCTTTGTCTGTCTTGGCTTGTTAGGATTGCATTGCACCACTAGCTTATTTATTTATTTATTAAATTTATACCCCGCCCCTCTAGACCATGTCTACTCTAAGCTGGTAGTTTCTTGTGATAAATCCCACCCATGTTACTCAGAATGTCTAGAATATATGATAAAAGACTGCTGTTCTGTGCATCCCTGCTTCTGAAGTGATGTCTGTGGAAATAAATATGTTCTGCTTCCAAATAAATGTGCAGGATTTCACCATTAAGGAGGGTACAATTTATTTAGTAGCAACCTATGGCAAGTAGGATTTGTTTTGGGAAGGCAATTGGGACTAAGACAATAATATTTTCTTTTGGAATTGCCGCAGCCTTTACAACGTTATCTGTATGACATAATTATGCTAAAATAAAATACAATATATATTACAGCCCTTGAAAGGTAAAAGTAGTATCTTGTTAATGAATATCCTGAAAAATCCAGGCCACATATACACTAAAAAAAACTGTTGGATGATTTTGTTAAGGTGCTTACTTAATGGACTTTATAAAATGCTGCAATATATACATATAGGCAGAGTACAATTTTATATTTATATATGTAATACTTAAATGGGTGAAGAAAGAGAAGAGATCGCTGAAACCATTTAATCGTTTCTAATCCATAAAATGAATTTAAAATATTCAATATAAAACATCTAGGAGGGAAAAATAAATGACCAAGTTTAGGTTTTTTTTTTCCAAAGTAATATAGAAAACATTTCCAGTTCTTTTCTTTAAGCATTATTCTTGCTTGGCTTGGGTCCATTTTTTGCATCTCAATAAGACGCCATTTGTACCAGAGAGTGTTTAAACAACTGTGCGTAATGGGAAAGTTCTGTCACTCGATCCACCATGTCCTGTAAGGAGGCTGTGCTGGGATAATTCAAAGCAGCCATCTTGGTTGACATGACAATGTTTTTCAGCAATTCACAAAGGTGATTGCTGGAGTTCATGATGCTGTTGCGTATTTCCTGAGTTGCCAACTGACGAGTCAGGGTGTCCCCAATAAATACCAGTTTATGTGCACTCAAGATGACAAATTTGCTATGAGCAACAAAGATCCTTGGGGGCTGAGCAGCACTAATGCAGTTGAAGAAAGCATCAATGGCATTCAAGAGGGAAATGAAGTTAGCCTCACACTGGTCTGAATAAAACAAAAGCAGTTGTCTTTCTTGAGATGACACCAGGCTGCTCACAGGATGAAGATTCTGAGGCGGCTTCCATTTTGAGATATCATTTTCCACTGGCTTTGTGATTTCTTGTTCCAGCCACTGGAACTGATTCAGCTGAAAGGCAAGTAGAAGAATCAATGCCATGTTTGACTAACTGTGTGTGACTCAGAATCACCTCAATTAAAAGCAAACTTCAGTGGTTGAGTACGGACAGGATTGGGGCCCAAAATAGGATCATATAGAAACATGGGAGGTTAACCGGTATATTTGTATGGATCCCTTTTTCATGTTTAAAATGTTGTGCATTGTGTATTTCAGGTTCTAAGCCTGCCTGTAAGAAATATGTTTGTTATCTTTATACGGGTATTCTAATTCGTTAAAAAACAACTACACTGTTTTTCAAAAGAATCTCAAAATGGACAGCCTCCTGTTTACAGAAACCAGATGAAAAGGAGGATGGGGTTCTTGTAACTAAAAGTCGCTTAGAAGAGGAAATTTTACTAGGTACAGCTTTTAATGCAAGCTACATCTGTTAAAAATTTCTCTTCCAGATGTTACAACTACAGTAACCCTGTCCCTCTTTTCATCTCATTACTTTAAATCAGTGCAATAGGCCAGGGATGAGTGGGCATGCTTGGTGGCTTCTATCAAGCACTGAATGCTGAGTGTCATTTGTAAAACAGAACAGAAAAACAAGAGTTTAACTGGTTCACATGAGTCTCTGCCACCTTATGATATTCTGGACCTGGTCACTGATGGCTGATCAAATTCCTGAACAGGAACATTTCCTGTTGTGGATAAGGATATATGGAACATTATGTCATAAGCCCTGGTCATTCTAACTGCAATTTGTAGGCCTCTTAACAATCCAATACTCCACCCCTAAAATTAGTCATGGTAATAGTGATGTGATATGCGAATGATAGCTATCGCCTAGTTCTTCAAAACGATGGTCCCATTAATCCTCCTTGGAATGCCACTTTTGGATTTTTCACCTCCTGTGTTCTCCTGCCATCTTTGGTGTTGCTTTGAGAAACATTTACCTGATGGTGCTCCAGTTGCATCTTGTTCTGCTTGATTATATTTTCTTTCTCTAGTAGCTCCTTCTGTTGCTTTTCAAACTCCTCTTTTCCCTGTTTGGGCAGCATTGCAAGAAGCAAGAAAGTCACGTTACTCAAAAATGTCTCATGAGGTAACAGGCCACTAATCAACTTGGCTACTTATTACACAGCAGGTATTTCATTATGTTCCCACTCTTGGTTTTATTAGCAGTAAGGAGAAACTATGAGTACACTAGGGGCTCAAGACTGAAAATGGTGCAAATAAATGGAAGTGAAGAGAATGAGATCTTTTTGTCACCAATAAACAAAGCAGGAACTTGAGTGGGGGGCGGAGGTCTGCTCTGCTATCATATGGCTGAAGGGTTCTCTGTGGGTTTTTTTTAATCTCACTGAACAGAATAGCAAGAGAGGGAAGACAGCCTGTTCCTGCTGGGTCATATGCTGGAGAACTGCAATCCAGGTGACAGGCGATGGTGTGGGATTTCCACTTATCTCCTGAAAAGACCATGTGCAGACAGCCGGTCTGGTATACTGGGCAGAGTAATGAACTTGGGACAGTCCAGTTCTAGATAAGGGAGAGTTTAAGCCTGCTACTTGCTGTAAGTCTGATCTAGTTCACAGAATTATTGTTGTGATAACAACACGAGAGAAAAGAGAGCCATAAATGTCCCCTTCAGTTCACTGAGCAAAGCATAGGACACAACTATACAGTAATCAATAATAGTTTTTTTTTTAAAAAAAATCTAGGTCGGGAAGGATTAGAAGGGGGCAAGGATATATATATTGCTTGTATTCTATCCTTCCCATTTTCATATAGATGGTCCTTGCCCTCTTCTAATCCTTCCCAACCTAGATTTTTTAAAAAAACTATTTTATATATACAGGTGTGAATGGTACAGTCAGACCTTGCAAAGGCATAATAAATGAAGCCAGGACCACCCCGAGAAATGATTTGGAAGCAGACTCAGACCTGAGATGACAGAAGGTTAGCACCACACAGCATGGAAATAATTCAGGACGTTTACTTATACAAGCGGTGGCAGTAATGGCTGCCAGACTGGATGGGTTTAAAGGGCAACAAGGCAGATTAATGGAAGATGGATCAATTAATGGCTGCTGCATCTACAGTCTGGGAAGCTTATTTAGTTGGACTGCAACCTCAGGACCCCTCAGCCATTGATGCTGGGAAGATTCTGGGAATTGTAGTGCAACTGAACCACCTTTCCAAGCTCTCCTGACGTCTTTTTCAGACAAATGGAATGGAATGCCTGTCACTTGATGACCAACAGCAGACGAGAACGTCAAGCCCTGCTTCTAAGCCTCCCAGTGACATCTGTTTGGCCATAGTTGGGAACAGGCTGGTCCCGGGCAAAACTCACCTGCAGGTGCACATAATCATAATCATCCATCCAGCTCTTTTCTGAGCCATTGCTGCTGTTGTACTGGTAGTGCTGGTCCTTAGAAAGAAGCAAAGAGGCCCCATGGTCCAGGCTTTTGTCTCCAGTGTGTGTCATCAGAGCCTGTGGATTGTCGTACACATAATCCACTGCAGACCCCACACTGTCTGGTGCAGTCTTTACACAGGAACTGCTAGGTCCTTGTTTGAAAAGCACCTCAGCATTGATGCTGATGCTAGTGGTTAGTTGCTTTGCATCATCCGGGATTGTCCTTGCCACCATCACAAATCGGTCCAAGTCATCGCATTTGTTCTGGGGCTTGTTGACAGCCAGAATATTCAAGGACCAGCTGCACTGACTGAGGTCGTGGCTAGTCTGGGTTAAGATCTGATGAGAGTCTTCTAGCCTCTGTAGCTCCCTCCTCATCTTATTATAGAGGGTGAGCTCAGGGAGGAAGGAAGCATTGGCTGTTGCCCCTTTAGCGAAATGAAGATAGTCGGCCAGCGACTGCTCTACCTTGTCAATGGCAGCGTGGATCTTATTGATATGCTTCTCCATGTAATCATAAGAGCGCCAGTCAGGTGTAACAAAGGCCATTACACTGGAGACGGTGGTCTCCACTGTGTTCTGGTGCCAGTAAAGTCTCTCTATGGCTGTGTCAGGATCCAGCACTAATCTTTTGTCCTGAGAAGGAGTGGATGAAAAAGAAGATTCCTTAGATGTTGTGGAAGAGGTGGACATGTTGCTCCTTGTGCTGCCTGTACTGGAAAAAGACAACCTGTTCATCCCATCCGTCACATCCTGCAGTCTTTTTGCATCCTGGGTGACTTGTGGGGGCACGTCATATACACCTTCTTTTCCTTCAGGATTTAGACTTTCACCAAACCCCAAGTGCTGTCCAGGGAACAGGACTCCTCGAGGGGTGTCGTAGACATCCATCTGGGGAGCAATCTGATGATGCCCCACAAGTGGGGTTTGATGGCTCACTGGGACGTCGTACAGGCTTTGCTGGGGTGGTGTCAGATCTGAAGAGGCAGAGGGGTTACAAACACATTTCTGTCCAGGTTCTTTTGCAGATGCTTTGGCCACGGGTGGAGGGACATCATAGACCCCTTCTGGTCTTGCCTCATGCTTCATGCAAGCAGCCGAGTCTGGCAAGCATTCTCGGGAATCAGCATCATCTCTGCATGCTGAAGGCGGAATGGCGTAGATCTGGAATATACAATGCAAAGCCATGAGCCATAGAAAACCCTCCTCACAAAACGAGATCAGGGTGGGCAGTAGCTCAAACTCAATTCCCTAGTGCTAGTGAAGACATAAAGACAGAAGAGGATTGCTGGAGTAGGTTAGAGACCCATCTAGGTCACTGGTTCTTAACCTTGGGCAGGTTAGAGACCCATTTAGGTCACTACACTATTAACTCCATGACCAGCCTGTTGTCCATGGGGAGCCCACAAGCTGTAAATAAGTGCAAAGAACCCTCTTGTTTGTGCCTCCCAAGAATGACATACAGAGGGACACTCTCTCATGAGCTATACACTATTAACTCCATGGGGAGCCCACAAGCTGTAAATAAGTGCAAAGAACCCTCTTGTTTGTGCCTCCCAAGAATGACATACAGAGGGACACTCTCTCATGAGCTAGGAATTACTTGAATTGAATCTTTTTTTTTTAAAAAAAATCCCCAGCTAAGTTTGGTCAACATGTGGGCTCAACTGCAGGAAATACACATTTAAAGTTTTTGTATATATCCACGCCGCCCCCCCCCCACACACACACCAGAAGAAGGGAGTGGTAACTTCTGAGTATTCTCTATGGGAGAAAAAAAAATTTTTAAGTTTTTCAGATTTTGTATATATCCACGCCCCCCCCCAACACCCACACCAGAAGAAGGGAGTGGTAACTTCTGAGTATTCTCTATGGGAGAAAAAAATGAAAAATACTGCCAAAAGTCAGAATTGATTTGATGGCACATGTTTATTATCATATATCCATGAAAACCCTTGCACCACCAGGAAAATGTTTCAGAATGGCTTAGTTACCCATGAAGCCTCCAAAACCAGGAAAAGTAAAATATTCAATGTCAACGTCCTACTGTCAACAGACCATAGAGACACTAACATGGCAACTGTGTTCTATGTCACAATAGTGTGGTTTGTTTAAACCTGTCCAGTTGCAATTCATGAGCCCATCTCTGCTAACAAATCATGGTTTGTTGATGAGCCGCAAATCACAATCAGAGTGCTTAGTTTTTTATTATCATTATTTATAAACTGTGAGTTATAATGACTTCTGCCTGTCCAGTTGCAATTCATGAGCCCATCTCTGCTAACAAATCACAGTGTGTTGATGAGCCACAAATCACAATCAGAGTCCTTAGTTTTTTATTATCATAATTTATTTATAAACTGTGAGTTATAATGACTTCTGAATCTGCAACCATGGCTTATCTCTCCCTTGTTTTTCCAGCTGCCCACCTTGGAATAGAGACAAAAAAATGGGGGGGGGGAGAGAAGGCAAGCTAGGGGTTATTTGTCTGTTGTGCAATTTGTGCCTTAAACAACAAATCACAGTACAAATCTGAGTTTATTGTAACACAGTCAGTGACTGTAATGTTCTTCTGAGTTTTGTTCCTGAAGTTTGAGTCTCAAGAGCAACCATAGCACGATAAGAGTGTGAACTCCAGTAAACTTGTCTTAGGTGAAGCTGACAGGTACTATCAACCAACTGCATGTGTGTCATTTTTTAACTCTAATTACAAGAATACATCTTACATAAAACTAGTAATTATGCTCCAAAGTTTATCACTTAAAAAAAAAAAGACCAGCTATAAGCTTGAGGGGAATGTTTAAAGAAGTAGACTTCAAAGCATGGTCTTTCTCCTATCTTCTTTTTTCAATGCAAAGTGTATTATTTGTTTAAACATGCCTTCAATCCAGCATGAAATTACATGCTTACTTTAAAGAGGAATGGCAATATGCTTACCCCTTTTCCAGGAGGAACATCATAAACCCCTTGAGATTTCACATCACCCATTTGAGCTGCTTGTGCAGGACCTTTGAAGGATGCAGGGGGAACATCGTAGATCTAAACATTAGACACAACAGAGGCATTGTAATCACCACCATTTATTTAGCCCATCCTGTCCGCCCCCCCACCTGCCATTACCCTTTGCTTAGCAACTGGCATTTCTGCTACAAACAGGATGAGGTTTGGGGTTTTGCTTTCTCCTATTTAGTGTTTTAAGCACACATACAGATGTAACACAGAAAAGATAGTTGCTAAGCAGGAAGTGCAGGGCCAGATCTTCTTTAATTCCTAGAAAATGATTCTATATTCTTGAGCAACAAGCCTCATGTGGATATAAAACAGGAATAGGGAACTGTTCCTCCTCCAGATGTTTCCAACTGCAAGAAACTTTAGTAAGTATTATGGGACTTGAAGCCTGAAGCACCTGGATGGGCAAAGGTTCCCCACTCGTGATAAGCAGTTCTGGGTGTACAGTTCAGAAATTGATTGAAACAATTACTGTTTGGGAGCACAGCTCTAAGAATCTTCCACACAGCATAACCCTGCTGATGGAGGGTTTCTCAGAGGTGTTGTCTAAATCAGTATCTCTCATCCCTCTGGCCCATTTGTATTATCAGCCGAATCAAGCAGCAACACTATTTTTAGGGTGTACAACTACAAGTGTGGGGGTGTATCAGTTTGGATGACAAACACAAAAATGTCCAATACTGCAAATATTGGAGAAAATGAGCCATGTGGGGTGTATCAGTTTGGATGACAAGCACAAAAATGTCCCTTCAATACTGCAAATATTGGAGAAAATGAGCCAAGAACTCATTTGTCTGGAATGCCAATTTATGCGTACAATTTGGGTGGTAGGTGGGCTTGAGGGTAGAAGCCACATACACTCTTCATCTTCATGTTATAGTGGTATAATCCAAGAAAGACATGAAAAGTCTCCTAGATTGTGCCTGATTGTATAAACTGGTACTGCTGCATTGTCCCATCTAGCCCAGTATGGTCTCCTCTTGCCCAACATCAGTTCTCAAAGAGCCTAAACAAAAATCTTTCAAGAGTTATTTAACCAGAAATTTCAAGATCTGTCAAATCTTGCTCCTTTGAAGGAAAAAGAGTAAACACATACAAGGCCGGTCCTTAAGGGTATTATTTAAGATTCTTAATCACACACAATCAATGTGATTAAAAGAATGAAATCAAAGACGTGCCACATATTTGAATGTATCCACTCTATTTGTACATGTATTTATAGTTACATATTTATTTACATTAAAAATATACTTCCAGTCCAGACTGGGATCCACCCCAATTTACTGTTGAAAATTCCCTGCCCTCCCAGGCAGCTGTTTCCCCCGCCCCCAAGTGCTGCCCATTGCAAAATAGCAACCTTTAGCAGGACCAGTTTATGGGCTTTTTTTAAAAAGCAGGAATAGTATTTCATGTTACGTAGTCCTCACTGAGCCAGAAAAAGAAAATCAGGAGTACGGTGTAGTGTTTCAGGAATATACTAGAGTCCTTTTGGTGATCTGGGTTCTAGTCATCACTGAAGCCCACCCTGACCTACCTCAGGGTAGATAAGGTCATTGCTGGAAGAATGGGGGGGGGCAACCTTAAGTTCTATGGTAGAAAACTTGGGGGACTATAAATATATCTCACTCTCTTCAGGAACTTCTGCTAAGAATCCATTTAGGTTATCTGAAATTGCCCTATTCCATTTCAATGGTTCTTTCATAGTTTTAATGTCAAACAGTCCAACTGCCTCTTTGACTTTTTTTTTTTTTTTTTTTTTGCTTCTAATGTGGTTAACAAAAATACCTCAGAAGGAAATAAGTTAAAGTTCCATTTGCTTACTAATGGATTACTTAGATCTTCTGTATCCTTTGTACTTTCAAGTGAAAATCTCCCCCTCCTCTTTTTTCTTCTCTCAGCGCAATTGTAAGGCTGATCTCTTGGACACCCTCAGAACAGTTCTAGGAAAAATGGAGTCGGGATGCAAAGCCTTGGAAATCCTCTCAGGGCCAGTTCACACATTAAACAGCAGTAAACGTCTCAGTGGGGATCAGGGCTGCAGCCAATGAGGGCTCCCCTGTGAGCGTGTGTGCATCCACTGACAAAAACAAATGTGTCACATTCTTTCACATTTTACACCCAAGCATATCGAAAAGTCTCTATACCTATTTTTCATTCTCCAAAATAAGAACTGAAACTATGCTGGGACAAGTGCCATATGAAGAGGCTGCCTGTTAACAGTAATATAGTATGTTAATTACTCTGGCTGAATGTGATCAGGAGAATAAAATATACCCTTGTGCACTTATAAGTGTGGAATCTATCTGTTGACTGGCTCTATACTACATCAGCTGCAAAAATGAGTAAGACCATGTCTTGGCTTTTTGGTGGGGTTTTTTTTTGGACTACAGCTCCCAGAATCCCCTAGCCAACTCAGCTATTATGACCACTGGCTATGGTGGCTTGGAAATTCTGGGAGCTCTAGTACATCTGGGCAGACTCATATCCTTCTTAGCATAAAATCTGTTAAGATTTGAAGCATATTTACTGTCTTTCTGATCCAACCCACTCCCTTCCCTTGTCACAAGGATAAAATTAGAGTAGGATATATTGTACCCCATCCGTGCACATGGCCTGGGAGAGTTCACAAAAGAAACCTAAACAAAGGCACCCTTGACACAAGGGTCTCGATCTGAAGGCTCTGGTGGTGGTGATTTATCACAGAGCAATGGCCTCCCACCACTTCTCCTCCCCTCCGAAGTATGAATGCAGCAGCTGATGGTAATTGATGCCTAATCCCTAACAATTTTCATGAGGTGTGAATTAACTCTCCCGCCCCAATGTAGCCCTCATTCTGTTCCACTCCTGTCAGCAGATATGTGCTCCATTTCCAGTCCCCAGGATTTTCATTGGAAAGGGCTGGGAAAGTTTGCTCTTTTTCGTTTTCCCTGCTATCTGTCTGCTTTGCTGGGGAGGGGCAAAATGGAGATGGGTTGTCATCCAAGCAGGGGAAGTGCCTTACTCCAAAGGCTTCCTGGTCTACTTATGAGCCACCTCGGGTCCAAAGCTGCCAACCACTAACTGAGGTCAGCTATTTGTACTGTCAAAAGGCAACTGTCCTCCTACAAGATAGGTGGAGGGAATATTTCACCTAAGAAATCATTTCTTTCAAAGCTAGGAGGATGGGGCTCCACAAAAAAGAAAGTTTATGGCCTTGAGGTCTTCCATGCGATCAGATGAAAAGAAGTGTATCTTATAAAATGCATACAGGTTGTCTGTCTTTCAGCTTCTCCATATGTAGTATATTTGTAAAACTCTCGGACCATCTAGGAGGTGGCAAAAGCCATCTTGGCCAAGAGGAACAACATGTTTTGGATTTGGAAGGAAGGAACACGATCTACTTTTAGGAAACAGATAAAATGTCAAGACCTTGGCTGCAGATTAGTTTCACTACCGCTGACAGTTTTATTTATACCTACCCCTTGAAGAGGACGAACTGGTGGGATGTCATACGTATCCTTCTGGTATTTCGTAGGGAACTCATAAACGTAACCTTGTCCTGACCTGACTGGAGTTACAACCTAAGGGTTAAAAGACAAAGACAGGAAAACATAAATACTGAAGCACTTAGCCAGCCTTAGACGGAGCCTGGGGAGGTTCTCTGTGTGAGCATCAATTTTCCCATTGATGGATTTTAACTCTGACAGTTTTGTGGTAAAAATCCCAATCGTAAAGTTTTTAGTAGTAAGAATATAATGGCCCACTGTTTTTTGTTTGTTTGCTTTTTTGCATTAAATTCCTGTTTCTATTACTTACCTCTCAATGTTCAGTTTATATGCACACATGGAAACTCCTTTGCAAATCTAATTGATGCAACATACCTCACACCTTCACAGACCTTCTCTATCCATTTCTGAGACTGGAGAATGGAATTAAACTCAGAACCAGAAGTTAGGAAGGAGGGTTTCTAATGACAGCTTAACCTCATACATTTGATTTTTTTTTTTTAGTTGAGGGCATGGGGGGGTCATGTTAATCTGTAGCAACGAAAACAACAAAGAATCAGAATCGTCTCAGAGTAGACCCACTGAATGAATGGGCCTTGTTACGACAACACTAGAGAGGCGGGTATTCATATTCATATTCAAATACCCCCGCACTGGTGGATAAAATGAGGGTTCAGCCCCCTATGGCTGGGCCATCCACTCATCTTCTGCTGTTGCTGTGGCCTCTGCGCTCCCTTCCTGTCACTCTGGAGCTCACGGTCTGCGAGTCACTCCTGGCAGGAGGAAGAGCCTCGCTGCCAGGTCAAAGAGTGGCTCGCAGACCGCAAGCTCTGGAGCGATAGGAAGGGAGCGCAGAGGCCGCAGCAACAGCAGAAGGTAAGTTGATGGTTCAGCCCCAGGGGACTGGACCCTTGTTATGTCCACCTGTGTGGGGGGATTCGTATATGAATCCCCCTGCACAGTTGAATACCCCTACATAAGTCAACACTTATATTAGTATCACTGGTTTAATAGGTCTGTTCTAGTAGGAACTGTCCTATGGATTTAGCCCTAATGAGTTTTATTTAGGATGAGCTTTTTATCTGATAAAATGGGACGCCATGGACAAAAGCATGTGCCAGTTAAAACATGGCAGTCTTTAAGGTGCCACAAGAGTCTGGGTGCGATCACACCAGGAAACACATTGTAATTTGGATAGCTCGTGGAGCCATCTGGTGTGATCTATTTCCCAGTGATCACATGATCCATAGAAAAAGCATTCCAGCCTGACTCCAATCTGTCCCTATGCTGGACTTTTTTTGGTCCGGTTGTTGGGCTTCTACTTTTGGGGCCCAAACTGAAGTGATTCCCCAGCAAATGGAAAGGTCATTTTAAGGGAAGTCGCTCCCGTTAAAGAGGCCCTTGTAGCATATATCTTTGCAGTTGTCTGACTGCACCCTTTGTTGATTTCACACATTTCATGTTTTAGATTTTGCACCTAAAATGCAAAGGGTAAAGATGTGGAAAGCAAGGTGAGACAAGACAAATATGTGCTTAGAAATGTTGCCATATAAGGACACTCATCAAGAACCATGATTGGTTTTGGCTTTCTATGAAAATGACATTAATGGAAATCTAACAGTGGTGTTTCTGGTGAGTGAATTCCATTCTGCCCTGCTCTGGGGTTAATCACAGCCAACAGGCTTACACTGAGCTGAGGAGACAAGGTGGACTCAGAGGCAGAACAAGTTAGAATTTTTTAGGATTACTGGATACTAGGAGGAAACCTAAATCATCGATTCTAAACCTGAACCTCTAGGCCAAACTAAATTAGGTACGAGCCATAGAATCAGCAATTGTATAAACGGCTTTTTAAATAGCAACTAATTGGTGTGGTGGACCTGATCTAGACACTGGTGGATAAAATGAGGGTCCAGCCCCCTACAGCTGGGCCATCCACTCATCTTCCGCTGTTACTGTGGCCTCTGTGCTCCCTAACAACTAATTGGTGTGGTGGACCTGATCTAGATCAGGACCCTGCAAGGGGTGGGTGACTAGAGGAGTTACAACATTCCCCCTCCCATTGGCTATGGTACCAAAACACAGTCCTTTTCCACATCTGTTCCCCTCCCCAAGTAAATAGCAGCCATGGGCCCTTAATTGGATCAGGACCACAGTGAAGTGGTGGTGCACAGTTAAAGTTTCCCTGTCTCTCCTCATTCCAAGGTCTCAATCCAGACTGGGCTCACCCTGAGGGCGATTCACTTTAAAATATCAATTCAAATAATAGTTGACTGTTTGAATGGGGTCACATCTCAGTTTGGCCTTCAGGTCATCCTGCAGCAATACTACTGTGTAATCTGTGTTCATACAGTATTGTGAAGGAGGGAGAAAACCTCTCTTAGTTGTGATATTTTGTAACGAACTGCCACCCGTCTGGATTAAGAAAAAAGTTTTATACTGTATCTGGAATTAACATCTGCATGGCAAAGTATTAATTCAATTACTCTTTTTTTTTTAAAAAAAAATAACATCTATAAACAGAGCTTATGGAGGAAATTGTTATTCCCTAAATAACAAATGTTATTTAGTCTCACAGAATCAAGGTAAAGAATCCACAGATGCCAAAGAATTGGCCACTAAGAAAAATGTGTGGCTCAGTTTAATAGAAAAAAAAATTAGGACAGAAATTAGGAGAGAAGGTTCCAACAAGAAAACGGAGGTTCAGCACATGCTATCCTTCTGGGGAAAGCTACATAAAACTGATTGACAAGCAGTGCTGCCTTAGCATACATACAGTGGGCAAATGAGCACCCACTTTTCCTAAACACAGTAAAATGTAGCAGGGCAACTTTGCTGGTTCTGAGAGCCTCCGTTCCCTCCTCCTGGGACAACTGCAGGCGGCACAGTCCTGCCAGTGCCACAGAACTCCAAAAGGCAAAGGAAGGACTCAGCAAAAACCCTTATGCGCTGCTTTTTAAAATACCACTGGGAAATTTAGGGAACAAAAGAGGCTTTTATAGGGGGAACCATAATTCCTAGAGTACAGTCCTCCTTGCCTTTGTTTTAAAATGTGTATGTGTGTATGGAGCCTCTTTGGATTAAAAAAAATGGGTATGTGTGTGTGTGTTGCTCACTTCCACCCAACACCAAAACTTCTGTTGTTGTGATGCTCACACACGTGTAGATAGTACCACCATGATGACATTCAGCCAACATGACTGAAGACAAGGCCCAACACACTTTTAAGGCCACCTGTTTGGATAAAACAGCCCTCTAGCCAAAACCAGAGTAAAAATATATACAGCTTGCAAAGTGAAAAATCCAGCATGTCAGACTAGCCCAATCAGTGTAGTTGAACAGTGCCAAAGTGGGAAGGGCCTTTACAGGTGTGTATACTCAAAACATGCATGGATTATTCCATATGCTCTGAGAGTATACCTGGCAATAGCACAGGTTTAAGAAAAAAAGAATTTGAGGCAGAAGAGGCTAGTGTGCCCTAAAATGGTGTGAGGTGGTGCTCACCTTCCTAATTCTCTGACCTGTCCATAGTGAATGGTCTGGAAATGGCTCCCAAGGGTTGCAGGAAGAAGTCCTTCCAGCCATCTGTTGCTCCAATATGGTGGTAATGTCAGTGATGGACCCTGGAACGTTTGTGTACAAAGCATGTGCTAATCTCTGGTTGCATGAGCCCACGCCTGTCATCAAACTTCTAAATAAGAAACAGCAAGGCAGACTGCCCCTTTCAGGAGCAGAGCTTGTACTACTTTTCAAGATCCCTTGGAATCCCCCAGCTAACATATAGAAGAAAACAAACTTCTCCAAGCTTAGCTCAGGTAGTATCTTGTGCCTTTGTATATTCCACCTTTGTATATGCAAACTGCCCTAGCAAAGGTGACCTTCTACACACACAGAAGGCACTAAGTTAAATGTAACAATTTTTCCAGCCTCCTTTCCCCTCCCTCCTGAACACACAAATGGCTTTGGAAAACAGTTTTTCCAAAGACTGACAAATGTGCAACAAATCTATTTCAGATCTCTCAATAGCAAGTTTATTATTAGCCTGACCTACTAATTCTGAATACTAAGCATACTTGTTGCAAAAAGAAAGAAAGAAAGAAAGAAAGAAAGAAAGAAAGAAAAAGAAAGAGGTCGCATTCCACTACTAATCCCCAGAGACTCTTCAGTTACTGTAATTCTGTTTTACATAAATAACAAGTCCTTATGGCATTACAAACAATCCTTTAGGAGAACAGATATCAAAAATTAGAAGCAAAAGTCTCTTCCTCAGGCTACCTTAAATTTTAATCCTTACTTTAAACATAAAAATGTTGGTGTCAAGCTGCATATACAAAGTATGTGGAAAAATGCGTAATCATGGCAATGCTGATATGTTCCTTGTCTGGAACTAGGCCAAAGGCACCAGTAATCATATACATACTGTGCACATCTATTTGGAGATTTTCGCCTTCGCACTAGTTATTTTTATATAGGGAAGGATGAATCTGGCAGTTGTGCTTTCTCAACACTCATTTAAAATAAATTCTTTCCACCAAATCTGTGGACTCATATGTCAATTCTGGAACATTCTCATAAAAAAACCCAAAGTGAATGAAATTCTCATTATCTGTTGCAGCGAAATTCAAGTGGCGCAGCTATCCTCAAAAAGGACTGTGTTGAACTTCCTTGTTGTGTAGATGTTAAAAGACGAAGAATCTATCAGAGAAAAGGGGCAGCAAACCTCATTCAGTACCACAAACTACAGGTCAGATCACACATTACAGCAAAGGTCTGTTGCCTGCTCTTGCAGCATGATCCCTCCAGATAGGCAAGCCTCTCAAGACTACGTGCCTGAGACATCAGATACACAAAGAGAGTCTTGCAATTTCATAACTGACCAATTAAAAAACAGTATCAATGGCTAATTTTCCAAATGCAAGCTTCTGTTCGTTTAAAAAAAGTCTTTCCCTCTTAAGGATGCATTGCTTTTAGATACACAACCCAGGGGGTGTCTCATCCAGTGAAGCCCTTGGTTGTGCACTCAAATGCCCGCTGCTTCCCCTCACAATTTTTTTTTTTAAATCTCAAGTCCTTTG